AGCCTATACCTTCAAAGACGAAAGATGCAGCGTCTGCTGTGATTGATGGGTCATGAAAGGATCTATAAAAATGTAACTGCGGCCTACCTCTAGACACCGAGGAGTATTGGAAACAGGTGATTTCTGCTCGAAAACACGTGGATAGCCAGTCAACTCGCGCAGTGCTACCATCCGCCTGGAGTTTGATCGAGCCAATTACAGATGAGGAAGTCGGTCGTACGATCCGTTTAATAGGCGATTCGTCCCCAGGTCTGGACAAGCTGACGCCCAAGATACCGACGCGCTTTCTGGGTATTTCAACTTACTCTTATTACCTGGGGGTTTTGCGCCACATATGTGTCTTGCTCGTATTGCCCTAGTTCCGACCGTCCCAAATCCCATTTCATCGGACCATCTGGGACCGTTCCTCGTGTCATTCATCCTTGTCCAGTGTTTTCATAAGGTGCTCGCTGATCGCTGCAACCGTGGATTGCAATTTCCCTCACTCCAGTTTGCACTTGTACATTGAGACAGTTGCCTGGAAGCTAGATCGCTGTTACATGCCCTGCTTCGTCGCTATTCAGCGGCTGCTTCTAACCTCAGCTTGGTGTATGTTGACATATCGAAAGTGCTTGATTCGGTTTCGCATGACGAAATTGTCAGATCTGTCGAGGCGTTCGGAGAACAGTCACGTCCAGTTCGATACATCGCTCAGTCTTCTTAGAATACTGTAGCGGTTTCCCCAATTCCGAGGTTTTCTGCCACGCCATCACTGTTTATCATAGAAATGGATGAAGTTCTTGGAATGTCTGTGCTGCCACTTCCATGACACCTTAGTGGGTGATTTCGCCTTCGCTGACGATTGGATCGTATGTGCAGAAAGTCAGGCTCACCTCAAAGAGAAGCTTGAAGCTGCTGCAGTCGAGTTAGGAAGAGCTGGTGTGGATATCAATGCCCGAAATACGAAAGCGATGGTGATTTGTGGGGACAGGAAACATCGCGCGACAGCGGTCTCAGTTGAACCACTTTGCTTCGCCAAGGAATTCATCACTACTCTGAGTCCGACATACACTGTGACATACTTGAGCATCCCCTTTACTTTCAAGGGGAAAGGAGTGTTTAACCACCGACAGCAGCTGCTCAGACTCCTCGATGACGTGACGCGTGCCCCGTTGAAGCCGCATTAAAGAATGGAGATACCTGATACTGAGGATGACTTTTTCGCTCGTGCTCGGACAAGTCTACCGAAACAAGCTCAAAAGGCTGAACAATTACATCAGGCAATCCATTCGCGGCTGTGTACGTCTACCGAAGGACACCCCGATTAGCTACGTCCACGCCGGTAAACATGGGGACTTGGTATCCGAAGTATGCGTGAGACCATCCTGATGCAGCGGAGAGCGCGTGTGGAAAAGCTTCTGACTACCTGGTGCTGAGTACTACGCAATGTGATCAATGACTCCGCATTTAGCAACATTGTTAAGAATCTCAGCCTTCCGCTCCGAGTCCAGTGTGCATGCGTAAAGACCAACGAAAAGGTGGTGACTGCTTGGGGCGATAGTCTGCACAACAGCATTGACGGTCTCATTTACGAGAGTTAGCCACTTCGCCCTTGTCGGATCGATGGCTTGTTTTTTTCAGACGAGTGTTTCCTCAGATGTTTATCCACGGTATCCAGCTCCGATGCTCCTGTTTAGGACGAGAGTTAAAAGCGCTCGGCGTTGGCATGGTGGCCGGATGATCTTTTGTCGCGGAAGCTCTGGCCAACTGGAGAGTTTGCTGCATATTCTACAGCCCTGCAGGATTAAGCAAGGTGCTAGATGTGCTCGTCATAATCGGGTTGCAAGGGGACTCAAGAAACGTCTCCGTCGCCTGAGTGTCGGGACGCGTCCAGACATGGAAAAGGCACATGTGCAGAAACCGACGCATCCTCAAGGTCATCATCAGTCCCACACGTTCCGGATAGCAGTTGCGTTGGCGGAGCCCACCACCAACACAGCTCAGCAACATACGACCAGCGAGGTGGGGTTGAAACTGTTCACGACCGGAGCACCGCCATTGGCTGTACAGAACCAACAAGTGAACGACCATAATTGGCCATTTAGTCATCTTATATATTTACGCAGAAGCTCTGTGTGTTTTGTCTTGACAATACAGCCGTGTCCAGGGTTCTCTGTCCGGTCGGCTCCGTTAAGGCGTAACCAATATACGGCCACCCCACAACACAACACTGGGATACACCGTCTTCGGAGTTGAGAGCGCCTACATCGACGTCTGACCTAATGACTGTTCGGGAGCGCCGAGCAACTTCGACAGACTTATGCATAGTCTCGGATGGACCAGGAATGACTGTGTGGAATGGGAGGAAGCGGAAGTATGGGCCTGGTGAATTTCCCCTCACCATGACCTCAGCCCTACGTGCAACAGATTGTGCTATTGACTTTTTGGTCTACGAACCGAGTATCATTTCTTATCGAGGGATTCGCTTTCCTCACTCTGCCAAGGCTGTTATTGGACTGGGAATTTCTAGGGTCAGTGACTTGAGCTTGCTTGTCATTTTGGGCTCTCTACGAACTCACGACACTTTTGTGCATGGTACATGGCGTTGAGTGTTCACTCTTGCCACTGACTTTCGCACCTGACCGATTACAGTGTTTGATGTGCGAGCCTTGACTGTGCTAGCGCTTACCGCACCTTGAAGAGCATTTAGCACTGTCCGTCCTTTCTTAGGTTGCTGGTCTTCACACCGTGATTTTTCATACGTTGGGATTCATTTTTATCTTATTAGAACTGTTGGTGGCACGGCTTCAAATGAAACGTTTCACCCGTTTTATCTAATAATCTCCTTTAACTCCTCCACATCTACGCTTGCATTTACTTTTTATGTTTGTGACCAGGCTTTTCAAAAATAAACGATAGTATGAGGTAGGACTACCTCCGAAA